TCCAATGGCGATGAGGCAAAGGACAAAAATTAATCCAGGTATTAAATATTATTATATTAATAATATTCTTAAGTTCATTTTCATCAAGTTCAACTGTTCAAGTAATCAAGTATTTCTATTATTTATTTATGATTTTTTTTAATTTCTTTGCAGCCCATTGGTGGAGCCAACATGGGCGTAGTTTTCCAAATTTACAGAAGTTGGCCATTCAGATCTTAAACCTAATCACTTCTTCATCCGGTTGTGAGGGCAATTGGAGTACTTTTGAAGGGGTAAGGCCATTAAGGTAATTTGTATAATTTTATAAATAATACATGAACTATAGATATTCGATTTTAATTAGTTCACTTTCATTTTATTTTGTTAAGTTCATACAAAGAAAAGGAACATGCTTGAATCAAAGAAGCTAAATGACCTTGTCTATGTCAAGTATAATCGATTTTTGAAGGACAGATTTGCTAAGAGAGATAATAGAGACCTCATCAGATAAAAAAATATGGACAATGCTATGGAGTGGTTAGTTGATGATGATGAGGTCCAGGGGTATGAAAGAGTGACATGGGACATGGTCATGGATGCTTCAGGGACATCAGCTGACCCTCCTAGGGCCACTAGAGCTTCTGCACAGAGAACAAGGGTGGAGGAAGAGAAGGAAGAAGAGGCAGATTTACAAGAGACGGAGGAAGACGAGTTGCAATATGTCGAGGAGGGTGACGACTCTGTCGACTTCGATGAATATGATGCCAATGCAGCTGACCCAAGATTTTTTGATGATGAATGAATGTTGATTGTTGAATAATTATTAAACTTTGTTACTTTGAAGTTTGAATTTTGAGTCTTTGATTGAAGTATTGTGTATTGAACATTTGAACTATTGAAGATTCTTTTGAGTCTTCAAGTATTACTTTCATAGTTTTATAATTTGGTTGGTTGACATATTTTAAGTTTTAATTGGATATGGATTATGGAGTATGAACCGACTCATGGATTATGGTTATGCTTATGGAATGTGTGCTAAATACTAGTATGTAGTATAATTTGAATATAACAGATAGTTTGATACTCAAATAATTGCAGAATCCTTATTTGGATTCAACTGGACTGCAGAATCCTTATTTGGATTCAACTGGGCCGCCTAGGTTCTGGGCACCTGCCTGAGAGCGCACCTAGGCATTGGGCGGCTTGGACCCCTCAATCCCCCTAGGACCCGCCTAGCGCTTTTTGAAACACTGCGAAGAACACATCAAATATTGTTTCAAAAAGTGGCCAGCCTAGTGCCTATGTGGGCCAGGGGGGAAAATGGCCCTCGTGGAGGGGCATTTTTGTCCTCCCCCCCCTAAATAAGGGGGAAGTGGATGGGTTTTAGTTTCTCATGTGACCTTAACCCCTTTTTTTACCTTTTTAATGTGAGAAAAACTTGAAAAAAAATCACATTTCTCTCTGAAATCTTGAAAAACTTAAAAAAAACTTGGGCCGCCCAGAAATCTAAACGACAGCCTAGGAGCTGCACGACCAGGATGCTCCCGGCTGCCTAGGTGCTACCCAGTCGTTTTTTTTTTAAATTGATATCAGATATTACAAATGGCAAAAGTACACACATTTTACCACTTTGTGAATACATATGGTTAGAGACTATTCTCCGATTCCCTTGGTTATATATATTCTAATAATGATTTATGCTGATTGTAATGTACCTTAATTTGCACATCATTTTCATATCTTTTGTATAAGTGACGTCTATGTACAAAAATAATGGATTTTGAAAATTCAGTCAACATTCTAAGTTGGCTAGAATTCCAATTTTCAGCAAGCTTGCTATCCGTGCTTCAATATATCACTTTTCATGGTGCGTATTGCATGGTTTCCAAAACTATATAAGCTGTTGATTTTGAGAGTCTTCAGCATAAATGTGCATATTTTATAATCAGGACAGGCAATTTATTCTAGTGTACGGACTGCAATTTGCACTTCTGTATGCAGAGTACTATGAGAATGATGTAAAGTAAAATTTGTATACATGTGACGTTCCATTTCCTCCAAAGGGACATAATTACATCGTGCTTGTACATATTTAAAATCGGTTTCTTCTTTCTGAAATGCCATGACTAAACAACGCAAAATAACTTTATCACCATGTTTAATAGCTTCTAACAAATTGTCCTTTCAGGTGAGAATAGCTGATGGTGGGTTCAATTCTCTATATGCTCTCTGTCGTTCATGGGTGCGGAATGGCATGCTTCAAGAGAACCAAGTACGCCCCTTCCTTTACCTTCATTTGTCGGAATTCGTTAGTGGCTCATCTGGTGGTCTCTTTTAGTTTCATATGTTGTGATTCTATGTAGCCTTTCTGTATTTCTTTTCACTGTTTAACATTGGGAAGGATCCCATAAACCAAAAAAGAAAAGGCTTAACGATAAAGCATGACCCCTCATCTAGAAGGGTTGGATTACGAATTTTGATTATAGTTGCTGGTGTTGGTGTCTCTGATTGTTAGTATCCATTATTTTATATGCTTTTACTGCACTATGTTGGTTATTCTCTTCTCAACCAGTCTGTTGTGCATCATGCTATATTTTTACAGAATCCCATAATTCAATAGACAAAGGAAAACACCAATTCATTAGGTCATCATCTTCCAATCAATCAATGGATGGTGATGGAGAGAGTGAGACCCACGATGAGGTCATATTCTGTTCCATAGATGTGGGAGCTAGGTTGAGGGGTGACAATCCCCTTTTGGAATCCAACCCTGACAATCCTGGAGCTTGCTCCTCCCATCAAAGGAGCTTGATCCCTGACTAGAAGGGATCTTGATTGCTTTGGAAGGGGATTGCGACCCCACTGAATTTGGAGCACGATCATGCTCTAAATGGATCTCAATCCTAGGAGACGTTTCAAAAGTTTTTAAAATTTGAACCTGATGTCTTTGATTTTGTGATTTTTTTTTTTTGCTTTTTGTCAAATTTTCAGTCAAGGGCTCCTTGTAGACAATTTTTGTTTTCTATTTAAATGGTCATATGTTTTGTCAAAGCGGCCGAAAACTGGAGAACTGATTTGGAATTGCCCAAGTCTGCTGGGACCTGTGGGGACTCCCTAGTCCCGGATAGTCCCAAAAGGGAAATTACCAAGGTTGTCCAGAACCTGGTGGTTCTCACTGTAGTGAATCACCCTGTCTCATCCTGTTAGGGACTCCAACGACTTCTAAGTTAGTTCTTATCATGGTTTATTTTTATGGGACTTTCATATAATAGACTCTTCATTGGGTGTGTGTGTGTAAATAATGCTGACAAGTGGATTACATATTACTCAATTTTTAAACCGCTTTAAAAAATAAAATAATGAAAGTATTCACCAAGCAATCCAAAATACTTTTTTGTAATATATCAAGCTGTTCTTAGGCCTGTTACCAAAACAATGCTCCCAGGCGCTCCCAACCATGTGTTGATCCCAGGCTCCCCTGTGGCTCTTGCACCTGCTTCCGGTCCCAACAGCTATGTTCTAATTTTGGTGGGGCTCTAGGTCTCTCCATTGCCGTCGTTTCTTGACCTCAGTGGACTATGAGCATACTACAGTCCACTGGATTACTATTCCCATATAATTGTATGCTTTCTGATTTTATGTCTATTGCTTCTGATCATCACCCACTTGATTCTCACAGCACCATCTGGGGGAAAATGTAAATATACGCACTCTTCCTGGGCCTGCAGCTCTTGCTGACTGCAGCGTGTTGAAAAGTAAAAGTGGTGAGGTTGAAGATGATGAAACTTCGAGCAATAATGAGGTCAGTTTCTTTAGTAACTTACGAATCATCTAAGCGATTTCCCCCTTTTGTGTCCTTAACTACTGTTAGTTGGGGAAGCAAGGGTATAAATTTTGAAGTCGTTTGGAAATTTTGGCTTGCACTTATGGGAAAACTGTACCTCATCCTATGAGCTACAGAAAAACCATGGTCATTGGTTCATCTTAATCCATTGAAATGATGGGCAGTGATGGAGAGTGTCCAAAACAGGACTTGACTCCAAGGGGTGAGTTCTGCCCCCTATCACCATCCATCATCTGAACGGACATGAAGTCTCAATTGATCACAGATTTTTATAATCTTTTGGATAATAGCATATACTTGTCAAAAAATTGTGAAGGACTGTAGAATGCTTTTTCTTGGATGGGTAAGTGACCCTTCAATTGGGATTGCTGCTCAGTTGAACATTTCCTATGCACCAATTTCATGCTTGCATAGCAACATGTGAATGCATGCATTTTTTGAGATTTACTTTTGCTTTTTTTTTTGTTCAGGAAGAGGATTCAGCAGAGCATTTAAATGCACGTGATCTACTTATGCAACACATAAAGCATGCTAAAAGGGTTCGTATAAGGTATGGTTTGAAATGTTCATTTGTCTACTTTCAAGGAAAATGTTCATTTGTCTATGGAAAAATTGTATTCCTTTCAAATGGTCCATTGAAATGGTGGACCATGATGGAGAGGGAGGATGTACATTTCCATGCCAATAGACAGTTCATTTCCCTATGAATATATCGTTTCCATATTCCATCAGGTTACAATATCCTTTTCTGTCCACACTTTTTAACTTCTCTATGTTTGGTGTTTTGCCAGATTGAAGGAAGAGAGACTACGAAGAATCAAACGTTTTAATCAAAGGCTTAGGCTCCTGCTCCCCCCTCCTCCCCCTGATCAGAACAAAACTGATCCACCAGCCGGAGTCTGATATAGAACTTGCCAGAATCTGACCCACAATTAATGCATTGGGCTCTTTGCTGCCCACTAAAGCTTGATGGATATCTTCGCCCCATTCAAAAAGCTTTCAAGCTTTCGCAACAAAGGGTACAGGAAAATCAAAGTTATGACAATCATGCGTACATATTCTAATATGAAGATGAGAGTAGGTTGGCCTGCATATGTTGATAAGGCCTATTCAGGGTAGAAAGAGTGGGTAGATGAGAGAAGGGGCTTGAACATGGGTGTCAAGGATGATGTAACAGGTTTAATGCTGTAAATTTAGAGAGAGAAGGGGAATGGTGGATTGTGTTCACTTTTCTCATGTGGGCGAGAATGTGACAGCCCAGTCTTTCATCTGTATGTGATGCGAGAAGAAGATTGATGGAGGGGAAATAATTCTAATAATAACGTGAATAGAGATTTTTCTTGGTTGAATTTGTATGGTTGCCCTAAACCTTGGAGTAAAGGCAATTCAATGGATGGTTCAGATTTTATACGTTGGCAAATCATTCTCCTTATCTTGTTTCTTTTTGAAATACTCTTGTATTGTCTCCTAGACCAATGATTCAGTATGCACCGATCAAAGGTGTGGTGGGAAATCTCCAATTATCAGAGAAGACTAAAAGGAAAAGAGATGTAATCAAAGAGGTTATGTGGAATACTGAATTATAGACAAGATTCTGGTGTACCTGAGGATTCATGGATGTATACATCTGCTCTAGTTTCTTAGGGGACGGACTTGAGGACTCAAAACACATCAAATCTTTGCAAATTCGTTTGGCACTAAAAAATCGGTTGAATTTGGGGCTCCAATAATAGTGCAGATTTGATGATCTAATCTGATGATCTTGGAAGAGGTGAAATGGAGTTTTTGTGACTATTTCATGCCTAAATTTATTTGTTCATTTTATTTTTCAAATTCATGATCATGAAAATTGAGATGACCAATTTGTAGTATTTTGGATCATGAATTGACCACTCAGATTGATTTTGAAAGGACGAACTCATGTATGTTTGATTCATACTAACCTCATCCTTAAATTATTGTTTTAGTCGTTTTCTTTTTTTTTTGGTTAAAACAAATTAAAATTGCTAAAGAGTGATAACCTTTATAGTGTACAAGTACTCCCCATTATTTTTTCGATCTAAAATTTTGATAAAGGGTTTGTCGGTCCACACTTTATAAATGATAAAAGCATGTTTCTTCTAAAATGAAAAAATTATACAATACGCTTCAGAGCCTCACTAAAAACTGTAGTTTTGGTGCTGAAATTCTTCAAAATGATAATCTCTTTGTTACCAATTATGGATCTGAAAGATAGACTTCAAGCCCAAAATTAATTCATCGTCTATTACATCACCTTGAATGTGTATTTCTAAGTGTTTACAAAACTGCCAGATCTACAAAATTTTTAGATCTTCAAATTTCATATGCTAGAATACAAAGATTTTCAAGCTGTAATAAATATTTCTAACATTGGAACTGCAATTTTCTTTAGGTGCAAACTTATATTTTATCAAAAACCGTAGGCTTTACTTATGAAAACCTTATAATTTATCAGGCTTTACTTATGAAAACCAAAAGAGTTTAGTTTCTAGTCCAGCAGGTCATATGCTTGTCTTACTCTTTTTCCATTGTAGGCAAATAAAAGAAAAATGCGACGAGTGGGTCGTTCTTCCTTTTTCTCTCCATACCCCTATTATCTATCAACTTTTGTTTTGTATACTTCTAGGGTGTGGTTTGCATTGTGCATAAGGTTGCAATTTTAAATAATCAAATTAAGTTGTATCTCTAAATTTTTTCAAGAGATACAATTTTGGTGTGGAAATTTTTTAGGAATAGTGTAAGAATGTATTTTTATTTCTAATTATAAAATTTTAAACTCCAAAATGGTTTAAATCAAGCAGATCTATAAAGACATGAAAATTTTAAAAATAGATTGTCCACTTAATGTTTTGCAATATGTACTATTTTTAGGACTTGAATCTCTTTTTTTCTGAATGCATTTGTGCATCTCGATGTTGAGATGATCAATTAGATATCTTTCCAATATCAAAATAACATTTTTCAAAGGATTTTATATGTGCACCTTAATTCTACATTTGAAGGTGTCAACCTTAAATAAACTTTTTCCATCCTTCTAGGCTCAGATTTTTGGTAATTCGATGTACTTAAGTGGCTTGATCCAAATTAAAAAAACAACTCTGGTTGTTAACGTTGGGAACTCAGAATTGCCAAATAATGAAGAACAACCCTAGTTTCATGTTACTGGCTCTCATAACCACGGATAATCATCTAGCAATTCCTTTTTCTCATTCCATGTAATACAGGATATTTATTTAGACCAATTCAAATTAAAGAAACAATTTTAAATTCCCTTTCATTATCAATGTAATTCATTATAGCAAATATTTTGTTCGGGAATAATAAAATATCAATAGACCAAAACATTGGTAATGAATATGTTTTATTTTAAAAAATCAGGTAAAAAATACATATCACCAAAAAATAAAGAAGTTATAGTATCGTGAATATTTCGGATTTGGTTCAAAAAAAGTAGTAAAAAAAATAGATATGTAAAGATGGCACAATATAGGATTAGGATTTGTAGCTATAATATGGATATATTAAAGCCATTAAACAATAATTCTGTAGCCTTACTAGTGTCAATTCGCGGTGAGTTTAAACACCAATTTTAGAGTAAACTTTTAAACTTTTTCCTTCTTGTAAAATTCTATGTTAATTTTTTTTCCTTATTAGTGCCATTCAGACTAGGCCGAGTAACTCAGGGTGAGTTTTGTCAAGTAGGTTGTACAACATATTTTTTTAGTTTAGTTATATTAATACCTCAAATTTAAGCCAGATGTGCTATAATGCTTTTTCAGGTAGTCCTAATGTAGAAATTTCAACCCCGTCAGGGTTTGAATATCACTATAATATACAATTTTTTACACCATTTTTTGGTGTTTTATTTTTTTTTTTAAAAAAAATGAGTTGGACTCAGGTAAGTTAGTTGGACTTACCTCGGCCAGGGCCTGAGTACCTTGGCTGAATCAATTTTCTGAGCACTTAAAAAGACTTATAGCATAGAATGGCAAGAACGAGGTTTTGAACTAGAGACCTGATCCTTAGATCTGGAGAGAGAGATGAAGAGGCCGATCTAGCCCCCGTTTAGAGAGAGGGAGATGAAGAAGTGGCCCTATCATACCCCTTTTTACATAGCGAAAGAGACAAAGGGGTCCGGATCTGAATCTGGCTCCCTTTTAAGAGAAAGATAAAGGGGGGTTGGATCTGGACCCAAGAGAGAGGGCCAGGGAAAGAGGGGAGGAAATGGGGGTGGGGCACAGGTGTCCTACCATATTCTTTTGCCATCCATTCCACCATTAACACATCAAAGAGAGAGAGAGCTGAAGGACCAGTTTCTATGCGGTCAAGCACGCATATGTAGAAATGCAGGCTTCTTAATCAATCTATTTTTTAGATGGATTTTAAGACTTAATTTTTAAAGATATGTAATCTCCAACATGGAGATCATGAATATGAAAAAATAAATAAATTTTAAAAATTAAAAATAATAATTTCAATAAGAAAATATTGGATCGTTAGTTTCCATTATTTTTAGATGGAACACCTACTTACATTTATCTTTAAAATGGATGCTTTACACTTTCTGGACTGCATATGTAAAAATGCAGTCCAGCCTGCGTGAAACAATTTTTCGAGATGGAAGACAAATGGATATGCCCTGAGAAATGACAGAATAAAAAGGGGTTGCCTGCATGCATGAGAGGGGGTGGGAGAGAGAAAAAGAGGTGTAATCACAAGAAGTGCCGGGAAAGAAGTTGTTAAATCATGATAGTTGCATCAACATGTACATGCCAACTTGTTGTGGATACAGGGAGTATGCATGGCAAGTTTCTTTCTCTTTTTCTTTTTCTTCTTCTTCTTTTTCCTTTTATTTTATTTTATTTTATTTTATTTGTAGGGGCATAATGCATTGTTGTGGATAGAGGGAGTATGCATTGCAAGTTTTTTTTTTTTTTTTTTGAAGGGGCACAATGCATTGTTGTGGATAGAGGTAGTATGCATGGAGGCACAATGCATGGCAAGTAATTGTTAATTTACTGCATTTACACTTTATAGGCAAAAGGCATAATTACCCAGGTTCACGTGAGCTCTTACATTTATTTCTCTCACGTGGAATTTCGAACAATGGTTGAATTTCTTAGCTCTCTCACGTGGAATTTCGAACAAATGGTTGAATTTCTTAGCTCTCTACCCACCCATGTAGTATATTTTGGAAAGGCCTTAAAACAATCAAATTAGGGCACACTTTGAAAAGGTC